CCCTCTTTATCACCCTCTAGCCAAAAGACTGATTATATATTAAGCGAATTTATTATGACCTATATATTAATTGACACATGTCTTAAGATGTCCGCGAGCCTGCGTTCCTGGCCTCGACTGGACAGAGTACGTTTTTATTAACCTGTCGTAAATTAGATGTGAGGTAGGTGAATGCTACGACGATGTGTGACATGTCGACCCGACCCGATTACCGCTAAATTTAACACAACTGCCTGTCACCCCTGCCCACCCCCGTCGAGTCGACTGCGGCACTGTATGGTTACGCAAGAGAATTGGTTTTCTGTCATACAATCTGTCAATGTCTGCCTGTATACAATAGATGTTGGACATACAATACACTTATTTAATAAAACATTCCGATAGTACGGTATCATGTTTCAAGTAGGGGGTCAACCTTTTACCTCTAATATGTGCCAGTTCATGGACCGCTTTTAATACATGTACAATGTAAGTGGTTATTATAGAATATTTTTTTGTTTTTTGAAATGGTTTTGAATGAATTAGTGGTCCAGTATATTCAACTGTAAGTAATAAATGGCCAATAAAAAGTTTTTTTTTAACATAAAACACATTAAGTAATTTCATGAATGTTCTTAGTTAATTTGCGACTTCGCAAAAACTTAATCTATTTCTTATTTTGTTTTTGCTAATACCTGGGATATGCACAAATTGCGTTGCAAACGTTTTCGTGACAGGTCCCTCAGTGTCATATAGCCCACAGAACGTTTCTGTCCTGGCACTGGCATAATTGATTGCATGGATCAACAACATACAAGTGAGAGGACTTAGTGAGATACATTTGTCCCCGCTGTTAGGCATACATTTGGACCACACCAACAATAATATCATGGACGGGGTACTACCACATTGGAAACTCGGTATAAATGCTTTAGGGTGTGGCATCGAATCTAGGGGCCGTTTATACACTCACACACTCTAGCGCGTTTGTAATTAATACGAGTAAATCCCCTGAATGCAATGGTGTTTGGGTCATACACATATGGGAAAAATATACATAGACATAATCGTCGCAGTCGTTCACGAGTTGGGTCCCACATTCACCCCAACCCTTTCACCTGCACACACATATGCGTACCTGCTTTCGGGTATGTTACGACGTATACGTCTTCGTCTCTGACTTCGAAGTCTTTCAGTGCGCGTATACTATCGGGGTGCATAGCGGATACCATTAGTCTATCCTTCCTTCCATCGTAGTAGTAAGTCTTTTCAAATGGTGGGGTTAACTCGGTTGTTTTTGCCATGGCCGTGCGAGATTAGTCAGGATTTGCGCTGGAAGTTTGCAAGCGATTGTGTGCTGTGGACAGCCTGTAGAGTAGTGATAAGACTTGATTAATAGTCTAGACACTTGACCTGATCGCTGTTCATATAGAGTGCGCCCCACAACCGCAGATGGAAACCGTAACACTGACTATGGCGTTAGACCATACGTGCCTTGGCTATATATTGATTGCTGTGCAGTAGGGCGCCCTCTTGTAGAATGTTTGTGATTAGCTTGCTTTTACCGTCTGCTAATCTTGAACAACGATTTGATTGGTCAAATGGGAAAACTAAATACTAAACCCTACATACCCACCTGATACCCACTGTGTGTGCTCCAGTGATATCAACAAGCAATTCCTAGACGTTTCGGCCCTGCACCCTGTTTGCCCGAGTTACTAACAAACGTTACAGTCTTGATTGTTGACCGGGCATTCGTTTCGGCCCCGATATATAAATAATATTCACAGTAGCGTTCATATCCAGTATTTATATATGAAATAAACAATTTAGGTTAAAATTATGGCATCATTACTCACAAGTTATTTTTTGTCTTTTGTAAGTCATTTTTCATGACTATTTATTGCCATGGAGCTAAAACATACCCTGACCCCGCCCTTGAAAATTGATTGACAGCGTGTACTGTCCAACCTCAGACTAGTAATACTTGTATTACTTGTAATACTTGTATTACTAGTCCGATTTCCATCCCGTTTCGGCCAGCACAAAACTTTCATGAAACCGCATGGTTTGATCATGATGGTTGGATCCGATTATAGATATCCCACACCCATCCGTGTCAATAAACAGCTAAGCGGGTGTTAATGACCAATCTTTAGTTCTTTTAATTTGAAGTATACACTGTCTAAGGATACACGTTGCCATGGATTAAAAAAAATGCTTGGCTATTGGTATTTATATATTCTCTAAATGCAAGGCGTGTATCGGCAACAATTGGAATTACTGGATAATGTTCACAAAATCCCCCCCCCCGCCCGCCAGTTTCAAAATGGCTTAGCCCTAAGAGGTTCCAGTTAAACCTGAGACTAGTGGTCTAAACGTATTCTAGCTACGTAGCATTATAACGACGTGGAAAATATAAGCCTGTCATTAAAATCATTTCTTTGTAATACAGGACATGAATACATTGTTTTGCAAATTGCCATAAAAAGGTTTCCGCAAAAATACACGATAGCCCACACCCGAGTAAGAAATATAGAAACCATCTGGCCATCGTCATTTCAGCCGCACAATAGTTGCTAACACGTGGTGTAATAAATACGATTAAAATATTCACGCCATGTATTTTCACACCTAACATGCAGGTAACTACTGTACATGAAAATATATTATGCACAGTATACTGGTGTCTATAATTACGTAACACAACTAAAGTAACCAAATCCTGTCATTGCATGACAATGACAAGCCTCGACAAGCTCCACTTACCCCTGGTATAATGCCAATCCGTGATTAATTTGCACACCAGTTCTTAGCGCCTGAGACCCAAACTAGAAAAACAAGTATTCCTTTTAAAGCATTGACGATTAATTGTCGAACACATGACAGCTTTGTCAAAGATTCTTACTCGGGTAAACCTACAAAGTCAGACATGTGTATTCTTAGGTCAAGTAAAGGTCGTCTTTAAAACAAACAACAACTAATGAACACTACTCTAGTGGGTTTGCAGAGGAATACCCATTTAGCCATACTATATTATATTTCAATAGAGAATTCTCGTTCGTTGCTGGGGGGAAATCTTGACACACGTGTTCGCAGTACTATGAACTACTTTTGTAGTAACACTTTACAGCAGGTGAATAAAGTACGGGTCGGAGACGAGTTACTACAATTATAGATAGGGCACGAGAAACAATTCGGTGATGGTAATAAATGTTTTGACTGACTTGCCATATGGTTAAAAAAGGCTTCTTCTTTTAATTTCTTTTGCGTGTAGGACAATTCTTACCATTGTCATGACACAGGCGAGGTTTTCTATGTGCCGTGGGCGAGAATACAAATTTACTAGCTTGAAAGTAGCAACCAGTCCGGGACTAGTCATACCTGTGGTGCCAACCCTTTTAAAACGCCATAGGCATTGCACCGCGTCATTTTCGACAGTCCCACGCGACGTGTGAACGAACGCATGTAAAATAATGGTAGATTCGAAGGCGCAATGTAAGTATCTATCGAATGGGCGAAACACCGGAAGTCGAGTTACAAAAGACTACGACCCACCCACGAAGACAGCTATACGCAACATTTCGACTCAGAGGAAATCCAGGGTCGTGCATCAACTAGGGTAGTGAAATAATATCGCGTAAAAACAAGTTATGCATGAGTAATTTAGACGTCTTTATTGCATTGATTTATTTACTCAAGTTGTTGACTGTTCGTTCGGGCTATTAATAGTCGGCGCCCTTTCCCGTTAAACTTTCTAAGTTTGATGAATGAGCTGCATCAGCCAAATTAAAATGTATGAAATTGACGATACAGGCATGGGAACAACATTCGTGATAGCATGGTGATGGGTATTCTCTATAGTCTAAGTGAACACATAGGACGCGAGGTTGGATTACTCAGTGATCGATCGTAGTTT